CCTGCGGCGCGTGCAGGCGTTGCTACAGCGAGGGAGGTGCGGGCGGGCTGAGTGCTTCCGCAACGGCCTGCGACAGGCCTGCAAAATGGCGACCTGATCGGCAGTTTGCACATCCATCCGCACGCCCCAGTCCCGTGCGCGACCATCCTGGCACTCCCCCTTTTTCCCTCCCCCCCCCCCCAAAATAACCCTTAGGCCTGCTCCACGGCATCCCCATCGCGCTGGGTGTGATGGAGTTCGGCTTCATGGGCGGCAGCATGGGCAGCGTGGTGGGGGAGAAGCTGACGCGCCTGATCGAGTACGCCACCCAGGAGGGCCTGGCCCTCATCATAGTGTCCACCAGCGGCGGCGCACGCATGCAGGAGGGCATCATGAGCCTCATGCAGATGGCCAAGATCAGCGCCGCGCTGCACGTCCACCAGAACGAGGCCAACCTGCTGTTCATCTCGCTGCTGACGTCACCAACCACCGGTGGGCGGCGCGGGATGGGGGGGCAGAGGGGGCGCCTGCGGGGTGAGGGGGGGGGGAGAGGGCAAAGTGGGGGTCGCTGGGTGCTGGGCGGCCGGGGCGGCGGTACGAGGGTGGCGTTGCGTGGCCAGCAACATGGCAGAGAGCGGGGCCATCCGTTGACTTCGACGTGGCGAGGCGCCCTTCCCCCCTCTCAAGCCTGCTTCACCCGCGCTTATGCTGGCCCCTCCCATCCCCCTGCGGTCGCAGGTGGCGTGACCGCCAGCTTTGGCATGCTGGGTGACATCATCATCGCCGAGCCCCAGGCCATCATCGGCTTTGCTGGGCGCCGTGTGATCGAGCAGACCCTCAACGAGAAGCTGCCCGACGACTTCCAGGTGCGTGTGTGTGTGTGTGTGTGTGTGTGTGTGTGTGTGTGTGTAGGGGGACGCTGTGGCCGAGAGTCCAGGGTTGCGGCATGGACTTTCACAAGGTATTTCGCAAGGCACGCAAGCCTTCACAGGGCGGCTGGCAAGCGGCGCCCGCACGCGGGCGCCAGTCCGTCTTGACCCTGGGGGACACGCCGCAGCCAGCCCTGGGGCGGGAGCGCGTTGCTGCCCGCCCACTGCCGTGCCACGTGGGCTCGAAATGTTCTGAAACCATTCCAGGGGTGCACCCTGCAGCACTACCCGGCCCGACGGGACCCCTGGAGTCGTGGACCCCGCTGACCCTCCGCCTGATCGATCTCCTCCCCTCCCCCCCCCCAAAAACAAAATCACCCCTCAGACCGCGGAGTACCTGCTTGAGAAGGGCCTGCTTGACCTAGTGGTGCCGCGCTCCTTCCTCAAGGGGGCCCTCTACGAGATCATCGACTTCTACAAGGACGCGCCTTACAAGAGGCGCGGCGCCATCCCATACGGCGTGCAGCGTGGCAGGTGCGGCGGCGATCGCGCCCCAGGGGGGGGGGGCGGGGACTGGTAGCCCTGGGACGGAGCGGCGGCGGCGGCACGGCGGCAGATTGGCACCGAAATCGGACGCAGCTGCTTGCTGCCGGCCGGTTGGTCGGTCTCAATGGCTGTCCGGAACCCAATGGCATGGCGTTCAGCCTGAATGAATGCCCGATTTTCGCGCATTTGCCCCCGTCCTGCGCCCGCCCCGCAGCTACGCGCTCACCGCGGAGGAGAAGATGCGCCGCCGCTGGAACGAGTGGGCCGCCGCCGGCGCGCCCGCCGCCGACGGCGCGCCGTCGTTCGGCGAGCTGGTGTCCAGCTTCCGCCGCGTGGTGGCCGCGGACGACGCGGCACGCGCGGGCGAGCTGGACGTGCGGTCGCTGGTGGGCGACGGCGCCGCGCTGGAGGAGGCGCTGGGCGTGTCGCGTGACAGCGTCATCGAGTGGATGGAGGTGCAGGAGAGCCTGCTGCAGCAGCAGGAGAGGGCCAAGGACAAGAAGTTCCTGTTCCAGGTCAAGGCGCCCTGATCTGGTCCGATCTGATCTGACCTGATCTGACGCGATCTGATCTGGCGCCCGGAGCGCCGCGGCCTGGGCTGTGGGGATCCGTTGGCGATCGCGCCCACTGCAAGGCCTGGGAAGCCCCTCAAAACCGATGGGATGCAGCCGCCCCCTATGTGTGGCGCATACTAGGCCCCGCTGCGCGCGGGGCGGGAGCCAGGAGGCGCGCACTCGCCGCCACTTTCAACGCGCGAGGACAGGCGGCACGAGGGGCCGCGTCCCAGCCCGCAACGCATGGCATGCGTGGCTGATGGTTGTGTACATGGCTGCTTGCTCCCCTTTCATGAAAGCACCCAAAAGAGTTTTTCACGGGGCCGCGCGTGCCAGCCAGCGCCCCGCCCACTGCTCTATCCCACCGTTTGCGCCTGGCGCCGCCACTCTTACAGACGTGGTGGGGGCGGCGCCCAATGTGTCCCATACTGCACACCCCCACGCTGGTTTCCCTTTGGCACACCCCTTTTTGCGCTGTGCGGGTCAGCAACAGTAACATCTGCTAGCTTTGCTCCCACCGATTTTGGCCGACACGACCAGCCAGCCGAGGCAGGGCAGTGCAGCACGCTGCTCACAAAAGCGACGCTCCTTGAAACGAAATGCGTTGCACCGGGCCCGTGCCGCCTGGACACCAGCCGGGGTTACTGTTACTCTTGTGGCCATGCAGGGCTGCAACAGAAGGGCCAACGAAACAGAGTCGGTCCCCCAGTGCCAAAAATGGGCACGATGCGTCGGAAGGAGGCGGCGCGCCGCTGCACGCTCGTGTCGCAGAGCGTGGGGGTGTACATGGGGGCACGGGTGCGCAAGGAGATGGGTGCCGCACAAGACATCTACAACAATGCTGGCAACTGGATTGCAACGAGCTGCCCAACCTGCAGATAAAACAGCCTTCTCTCGACCATACACCACTCGAAATTCGAACCACGCATGACGTCACGAGCCAAGTCACGTGGCGGCCAGCGTGAACACCCTGGCGGTGCCGTCGTCCGCGCCGGTCAGCACCATAGAACCGTCCGGGCTGATCGCGATGTCCTGCAGGCAGTCCGTGTGGCCGCCGCAGGCGCGCACGCACAAGGACGTGCGCAGATCCCACCAGCGGACGATGCCGTCCAGGCAGGCCGTCGCCACCAGGGGCTGGTGCGGGTGCCACGCGATCCGCGTTATGCCCTGCGCGCGTGAAAAACGGGGTCGGATGAGGAGCGAGTGTCAGGCACAACACCGGCAACCAAAGAGCAAGCGGCCCTGGAATCGATAATCCAGCGCGTTGGGCCAAGAGCGGGCTCTGTGCCAGCGCCGCCGCGGCGCCCCCTCTCGGCCCGGCGCGCCTGCGGGTGCTCGCAGCTGCCGCGCTGCGTCCAGCCGTTGGCGTCCCAGACCACCAGCCGCCCGTCCATGCCCGCAGAGGCGGCCAGCGGCAGGTGGCGGCTGAAGCCCACCGCCTCGACAGACTCCTCATGACCTGACAGAGGTAAGCGGTGTTGGAGTTGTTGCGAGGGGCGAGCACGGGAGGTGGGTGGTCAATGGAAGGAGCAGCATCCGGAGGGCAGCATGCGGGAGCGGCCGACGGGAAGGGTCTAGGCGTGTGAGCCTTGCCGGGGGTTCTTGGGAATCAGGGTGCTCAGACAAGGCTGAAAGTGGTCTGCACTGGTGTTGACCTCAGAATTTGATGGTACTAGGTTGATCATCACGGCACGCTGATCAAGTTGGCCCTGGCATCTGTAAACAAACCAAGCAAACAGCCACGCGCAGAAAAAGAGGATCGGCTCAGACAAGGCTGAAACTTGGGTCACCAGCGGTGTTGACCTCAGAATTTGATGGTACATAGTGGTTATTCCTCATCGCCGCCAGCTTTCGCGTACACACGCTCGCATGCACGCTTCCAAACGCCAACCATCACACAACACACCAACACAAAGGCGCGCGCAACCCTACATGCGCGTTGCGTCCCTCTCTGTCTCACCCGCCGGCGACGCCAGCACGCGCCCGTTGTGCGTGTTGGTGACCCTCAGGCTCCCGTCCTGCGCGCCCGTCAGCGCCGCGACAGACTCCCCACTGCCGTGGAGCGCCAGGCAGGTGATGCCCTCCTCATGGAAGGGGTGGCCGCTGACCGCCAGCGCGCACTCGCCGGTCTTCGGGTTCCACACGCGCAGGCTCGCATCGCCCTCGCCGCCGACGGTGACTACGGCCTTCCCGTCGGCCGTGAACGCACCTGCGGTCACGGGGCCGCGGTGGCCCGAGAACACCTGGGGAGTTTCCGGGGCAGGAGGGGAGGCCGGGGTGCGGCAGGGCGCAGGGTTGGGCACAGGGCTTGACAAGCACGGGGGGGCAGAGGGTTGACAAGAGCGCCGCTGCGGGGCACACCTGGGGCGGACGCGCGAGCTCGAGGCAGCACGCTCCGCAGCAGCCAGCTGGGCGGCCCTCGCCGCCCGCCCCCGGCGGTGTTGCTGCCGGCCCCCACCTGCATGCAGTCGCCGCTGCGCGCCAGCCACATCCAGGCGCTGAAGTCCTCGGACCCCGCGAGCACCACGTCGCCGCGCGGGTGCCACGCCACCCAGTGCACGTCGTCGGCGGGGCCCTCCAGCGTCCGCAGGCAGGCGCCGTCCTGCGCCGACCAGACGCGCACGGTGCTGTCGAGGCTGGCGCTGGCCAGCAGGGCGCCGCTGGCGCTGAAGGCGAGGGAGACAATGGTGTCAGTGTGGCCCGAGAGCTCAAACGTGCCCAGGGTGCCGCCCGTCTCCTCTAAGGCGTCCTGCCCGACCTGCGGAGTGATGGAGGGCGTGGCGCCGCGGCGGCGGTCGGAGGGGCCCGCAGACGCAAGGGGGCGGGCTCGGTGGCGGTGCGACGCCAGGGCCACGGGGCGCGGCGAGCGGCCGCAGAGCAGGACCGCCGCCGCCGCGTGCGTGGGCTCGCTGTCCCACCCGCTCGCGCAAGCGTGCCCGGTCTGGGCGTGTGTAGGGGCGCGCACCCGCCACAGGAAGGCCTTGTCGTCCTGGCCGCCGGTGGCCACCATGTCGGGCTGAGCGGGGTTCCATGCGACGGCGAGCACAGCGTCTGATCGGGTTGCAAGGAGCGCGGGATTCCTGGGTCGGCCGGGTGTGCGCATGCGCTCCACACGCACCAAGCTTGCGGGCTGTGCAAAGCAGGGGTATCACTGGGGCGTATCCTCAAAAATTGGGAACGTTTGCAGGACGCGGGGCACGCGGCAGCGGCGGCAGCAGCGGCGGCTGCGCTGCGCGGCGGCGCACCGGTGTGGCCCTCGAAAAGCTGGATCGAATCGTCGTCCACCTGCGCGTGAGCCCCTGAAGGTCCCTCTTCGTCGTCATCAATCACGCCTTCGCTGCTGCCCTCCTGCATGCCTGCATAGACAGAGCACCGCGTCATGCCGCCATGCAGATCGCGACAGGCCGCGGCCCTGGGTGCAGGCCCAATTTCAGCATACCTTCAAGGTCATCCAGAACCTCTACATCGTCTGGCAGACCGCCCTCGTCGCCGATGAAGCCCTCGTCCTCATCCTCTTGCAGCTCTGGTTGATGTGGCTGCATGGTGCTGCGTAAATTATGATGTGATTGTGGATAAGACACACAAAGTTGGTTTGTAGGGATGGCAACCGTGGTAGCAGTCTGTATGCCGCAGAACTTCAATCTGTGTCTCCCTGGCGACACGTTGCTGACAGGTGACCGCTCCAGCTGACGGCGAAAAGAATACGGCACCGATCGAGCCCCCCCCCTTGTAATGAGCATAGAAGAAACAATTTATTGCTGCATATACTAAAGTACATACAGTAGGTGCACAGAGCTCGTAATAGAACCGCTCCAGGCTGCGCGAATGTCTGCATGGCTGGTGATGAACGCTAGCTGACCATGGACAGCATGCAAGGAAACCAGGGCGCACCCATCGACCCTTCCAGGAGCCCCCGCCCGAGTACATACCTAGATTTTGCAGCGGCTAGGTGCATGCAGAGGCACAAAGCAAGCCAGGCCAGCTAATTGATGCTTGCAACAGGAAGCTGGTCTGACAGCATGACACTCGTCGCAGGTTGGTGTGGAGAGAGTGGATGCCGCCAGGATTTACCGACAGACAGCGATGCACATGCATGCAGTGTTTGTCCCACTTATCATATGCATAGGATTGCAAGAGGGCGCGCCCGGACCCCCAGATTGTTCACCAACCACATTGATGAGGCGGGACAGAGGCGAAGCTGCTGGGCGGCAGGGCGGATTAGTGGACTGCAGTAACCAAGCGCTCATGCGCAAGGTAGTGATGAACCTCCATATAAACACACAGATTTACAGCACCCGCGAAAGCAAACAGGGCGCAGCATGTACTGGTGTGTGGAGTGTAATTGGGTACTGGATACGGCCTGCTCATGTCCCGCATGTCCCAAAGAACTCGTGAGTTCAGATGCAATCGAATCGCATACAGGGGACTCTGGGACCTGCCGACCCACCAGCAAGCTCCTCATTCAGAAACACTCACCTGGTTGGCCGGTGGCTCAGGCGCCTGTTTGCCCAGGGGCCCTCCCTCTGAGCTCAGGTGCGCAGGGGCTCAAGGCGGAGACACCCCCCCCCCCCCCGTGCTAGGATGTTGGTGACGCTGCGCGACCCACCCAAATTACCCCTAGGTATATAAAGCACAAACATCTTTCACCTGTGCGCGCCATGTCCACTGAATATCGCCCATCATAAACGTACAGCTCTCGCGGCCAAGTGGATATCCTGCTGGCCGGCCCCTTCCCAAACCAAGCCTCCCAACTCATGGGCGGATGATATGCCGGCAATCGCTGTCCCTCAATCCTGCCCCAGGATTTTGAGCATGGCATGTCCTGCCGCATTTGAGCGCACTCGTGCATCCTGGGGAGGGAGGGGCTATGGTGGAGACATCAGTCAAAACATGCTGCCACGGTGGGGCTGGAGCGGGGGGCATACTGTTGACCGTCTCTTGACCGCCGTCCCTACTTATCACAGGCCTGCACCTGCAAACAGCAAGAGCAGGATGCTCTTCCGCATCTCTATGCTGGTTGAGGCCCACTTTGGTCGGCCCCCGTGCTGAAGCGGGCTCTTGTTTTTTCACCTCTTCAGCTGCCCAGCGCACCGTGCTAGCTTTGACTACACCCGCTGCACAAAGTGCAAAGGGCAGCAATTAACTACGGTGCAACTGCCCTCATCTCGCCTGCGGCATACCCATACCCTGCCAGGGCGACATCGCACCTCTCTGCTCTCGTGGATCTCCAGCGCGCTGCTTGCGACGCTATAGAGATTGATTTGAAGTTGATTGTAATTAGATCTGAGCAGTATCGCGAAACATGCAGCTGCAGGGCAGAGGGATGCGGCCTGCTGTGAGCAGCGGTGGTGCTAGCAGGTGCGGGTGCTGTGAGATCCCATGAATCCTATTTGGTGGACCAGTGGGCGCCTGCAGCTGACGCCCCGCGGAAATTGGTGCAGGCATGCTCGGGGGACACCAGCAGCAGCTCGGCCCATTGGCAGGACCCAGGTGCGCGGATTCGGGCAATATGCGCTATATGTTGGCCGCGCGGTAATAAAAGGGACGGCCCATTGCCAGTGTGACAACTCAGGAGCGGCAGTCATTGCCGCCGCGCGCAAAACGAAGGCGCCGGGCGGGTGGTGCTGGTGGTGCTGCTGCTCCCGTATTTGGTGGCGCCTTGCACTGAGCAAGTGCAACTCGTCCTCAACATACCTGGGCCAGGTCCGCATCAGGGTGGCATCACCGACCGCAGAGACAATCAGCAGCGAGTCAGGTGCGCAGCCCCTGACCGCGGCTGGGGCGAGAACGCAGCAGCCGTCCGGCGGAAGGCAGCTGCTGCACGCAGCTGCTCCCAGGAGCAGCAGCAGCAGCAACGCCGCAGCGCTGGGGTGTGGCGCGGTCGCGGGCCTTCTCCAGACGCCGTCCGCCCTGCGGGCCCCATCCCCCGCGCGACGCTCCCCTCGTCCCTCCCCAAACAACACCCGCCGCGCCCGCCGCCGCCAGGCTCCTTTGACTTCAAGTCTTACATGGAGTCCACTGCCAAGGCGGTCAACGCCGCGCTCGACGCCGCGGTCCCCGAGAAGTACCCGGAGACCCTGAACGAGGGCATGCGCTACTCGCTGCTCGCCGGCGGCAAGCGCGTGCGCCCGGCGCTGTGCCTCGCGGCGGCGGAGATGGTGGGCGGCAGCGCGGCGGCGGCGATGCCGACGGCGTGCGCCATGGAGATGATCCACACGATGAGCCTCATCCACGACGACCTGCCGGCGATGGACAATGACGACTTCAGGCGCGGGCGGCCAACCAACCACAAGGTGGGCGCCTGCAGGTCGGAGAGGGCGAGAGGCCGGGCCCCAACGTCGGCCAGCCGGATGCAGAGGCGGCTGCCGTCGAGCGGCGGCGCGCCGGGCGACGCGGACAGACGGAGACCGCCAGGCGGGGCAGGGGCCGGCAGCGGCCGCAGCCATGGCGTCGACGCAAGGGGCAGCGTCGGCTGCAACGTCGACACATGGCCGGCAGCGTCGACGCGCACGGCCGCGTGACAGTCAGTTGCGGCTGCAAATCAGGGCCTGGACATCAATGCCGCCCCCGCACCCCAAACCCTTCCCCTCACCCCTCTGCTCACCCCTTCCCAGGTGTATGGCGAGAACATGGCCATCCTGGCGGGCGACGCGATGCTGGCCTACGCCTTTGAGCACATCGCGCGCGCCACCCAGGGCGTCCCCGCGGACCGCGTGCTGCGGGTGATTGTGGAGCTGGGGCGCGCCAGCGGCGCGGACGGGCTGGTGGGCGGGCAGGTGGTGGACATCCAGTCGGAGGGCAAGGAGGTGCGCACGTGTATGCGTGTGTGTTTGCGTTTTGTATGTTCGTGTGTGTTTGTGTAAGAGAGAGATAGAGAGAGTGTGTGTGTGTGTTTGTGTGTGTGTGTAGGGGGGGGGGTGGAGGGGCTGAGGGGGGGGCCGCAGGGCTGCAAGGGCACGTAATCAGGCTGTTGCTCTGGGTGTTTTGGGGTGTTGGGGGTGCGGGATGCGGGGCCTGGCGAGTAGGGCGCCCTGGCGGTGGCGCAGGCGGCTGCAGCAGGGGGTGCGGCGAGGGCAGCTGGGCGTGGCTGGGTACTGCGCAGGCTGGCGCCTTTCGTGTCACTCCGGCCAAAAGCTCCATGTACGCATGGAAGCACGTGCATGCGCATACGCACATGCACATGTACACACATGCACGCACTCCCTCTTCCCCCTTACACACACACACACACATGCATGCAACCCCCTGCTCACCCACCCCTCCCCAGGTTGGCCTTGACGTGCTGCGCTACATCCACGAGCACAAGACGGCGGCGCTGCTGGAGGCCGCGGTGGTCTGCGGCGCCGTCGTGGGCGGCGCCAGCGACGAGACGGTGGAGAAGCTGCGGCGCTACGCGCTCAACATCGGGCTGGCCTTCCAGGTGGGCAGCC